TGTTTATGATGGCCATTATGCCAGGTGTGAGGTGGTATCTAATTGTGGTTTTAATTTGCATCTCTCTGATGGCTAGTGAGGCTGAGCTTTTTTTCATGTGTCTATGGGCCATCTGTATGTCCTGGTTAGAGAAGTGTCTGTTCAGGTCCTATGTCCATTTCTTAATTGGATGGTTTTTTCTTCCTGGTGTAGAGCCATGTGAATTCTTTATATATTTTGCAGATCAAACCCTTTTCTGAGGTATCATTGGCAAATATGTTTTTCCATACTGTTGGTTCCCTTTTTATTTTGTTGATGTTTTCATTAGGATTCATTGGAAGCCTTTTAATTTTATGTAGTCTCATTTGTTTATTCTTTCCTTTCTATCTCTTGTCCTAGGGGATGTATCAGTGAAAATATTGCTGCATATGTTGTCTGAGATATTTAAGTCTTGAATTCATCTTGGGTTTATTTTTTAATATGGTATAATTTGGTGGTCAAATATCATTGTTTTTTGCATGTACTTGTCTAGATTTCCAAATAGTATTTATTGAAGAGGCTATTTTTTACTCAATTTTATGTTCCTGCCACCTTTATCAGATATTACCTGACCATATTGACATGGGTTTATTTCTGGGCTCTCTATTTTCTTCTATTGGTCTATGTGTCTGTTTTTAGGCCAGTGCGAGGCTGTTTTGATTATGGTGGCCTTGTGGTATAGTTTGGTATTGAGTATTGTGACCCCTCCTACTTTGTTCTTTCTCAAAATTTCTGAGGCTATTTGGGGTCTATTTCAGTTCCATAAAATTTCTTTGAAATATTTGTTATATATCAGTGAAGTATGTCATTGATATTTTCATAGAGATCATGTTGACTCTAGATTGCTATGGGTGGTGTGGACATTTTAATGTTAATTCTTCCAATCTATGAACACGGTATATACTTCCATTTATTTGTGTCTGTCTTAATTTCTTTCTTCAGTGTGCTGTACTTTTCAGAGTACAGGTTTTTTACCTCCACGGTGTTGGGAAATATCCCACCTGGTTTCAGGGACTGCAGCCTCACTGACAGAGGAGAGGGCTCCAAGGCTGGAGCTAATCAAGGAGGCCTTGGGAAAATAGGCCACTGAGGAGACAAAACCTGTCCCCCCTGGCAGAGGCGCAGCCCCTGCCTCCCTCACATCACCCTGCTTGACCCTTGAAGAAGGCTGGTTAGTCAGTGATGGGTAAGACCCCTTGATGGCAGGGGAAACCTAAGACAGGCCCAGCCACATAGGCATCAGGGAAGAACTTGAGGGACACAGAGAAAGGGCAAAAGACCCTCACCACCCCACCCCCCGCTTTGATATAGACAGAGTCCTCATTCTATCTGAAAGAAGTCTCCTTATTTCTTGGTGGCTCTGTCCTGCTTACCTGGCTCAGGCTTGAAACAATACTGAAGGAAGGTACAGCCCTAAACTGGATCGGGTGGTTCCTGGGGATAAATCGGGCCTAGAAGTTCCTTGAAGCATACTTTGTACTTCCCTCAAAAACTATGATAAATGGTTCATGCTGGGAAGGAAATTTACATTATTCACAGACCCTGACCCGAAGCATATCTCTTGGGTTCCTTTAATTGTTATCAATGATCTCTATTTGTTTTCTGTAAACATAGCTTTTTGACATTGATTGATGAGCTTTGCTCCATACCCCTGCATATATGATTCTCAATAAAAGCCTTTGGACAGAGGTGCTCAGGGACTTCTCCACTAGAGGGAAGTACCATCCCCCTCTCCTGGCAGACAGAGAAGTATCTGGTTCAACTCATATTATTTCCCCCCATCCATGATGACCCCAGGATGGGCTCTGCAGGATTCAGAGCCCCACTTCCTCTCTCACCTGGATAAGGTTTATTCCTAGGTACTTTGTTTTTTGTTGTTTCTATAGTAAATGGGATTTCTCCTGTAATTTCTATTTCTCATAGTTCATTGTTCTTGTACAAAAATGCCTTTGATTTCTGAATACTGACCTTGTATCCTACTGTTTTGCCAAATTCACTTATTAGGTTGAGTAGTTTTTTGGTGGAATCTATAGGGTTTTCTACTTACACTAGCATACCATCTGCAAACAGTGACAGCTTTACTTCCTCCTTTTCAATTTGGATATGTTTTACTTCTTTTTCTTGTCTGACTGCTGTGCCTTGAACTTCCAATACTATATTGAATAGAAGTGAAAGTGAACACCCTTGTCTTGTCCTTATCTTAGGGGGAAAGTTTTAGTTTTTGCTTGCTGAGTATGCTGTTGGTTATAGGTTTCTGGTATATGACCTTTATTATGTTGAGGTACACACCCTGTACTCCCACTTTGCTGTGTGTTTTTTTATCATAACTTGCTGTACTATTATCAAATGCTTTTTCAGCATCTATTGATATAATCATATGGTTTTTACCTTTCATATTGTATGTGGTGTATTACATTTATTGATTTGTGCATACTTTACCATCCTTGCATCCCTGAGATGAATCCCACTTGATCATGGTGTATGATCTTTATAATATAGTGTTGTATCCAACTTGCCAATATTTTGTTGAGTATTTTAGCATCTATATTCATCAGCAATATTTGCCTTTACTTTTCTTTTTTGTTATGTCTTTACCTGGTTTTGGAATTAGGATAATACTGGCCTCAAAAAAAAGTTTGACAGTCTTCCCTCTTCTTAAATTTTTTAAATAGTTTGAGAAGAATCAGGGTTAGAGCTCCTCTAAATGTTTGGTAAAATTCTCCTGTGAAGCCTCCCAGTCAAGGGCTTCTGTGTGCCTGGAGTTTTTTTTTAATTACAACTACAATTTCACTAGCTGTTGTTAGTCAGGATTTCTGCTTCTTCTTTACTGAGTTTTGGAGGATTATATGTTTCTAAAAATTTGTCCACTTCACTGAGGTTGTCCAATTTCTTGGCGTAGAGTTGTTCATAGTAATTTCTTATGATCCTTTGAATTTCTGTGGTATCAGTTGAGATTTCTCCTCTTTCATTTCTGATTTTATTTTTTTTGGGTCATCTCTCTCTTTTTCTTGATGGGTCTGGTTAAAGGCTTTTTTATTTTATGTTTTCAAAGAACTAGCTCCTGGATTTACTGATCCTTTGAATTGTTCTTTTAGACTCTATGTCATTTGATTCTCCTCTGATCTTGATTATTTCTTTCCTTCTATTTCCTTTGGGACTTGATTGTTGTGGTTCCTCTAGTTCTTGTAGATGTAGGGTTAGGTTATTTATTTGAAATGTTTCTCTTTTTTAGGTAGGCCTGTATTACTATGAACTTCCCTCTTAGAATTGTCTTTGCTGTGTCCCCTGGGTTCTAAGCTATCCTGTGTTCATTTTCACTTGTTTCAGGAAACTTTTTGATTTCTTTCTTGATCTCATTCTTTACCCATTCATTGTGTAATAACATGTTGTTCAGTCTCCATAGATTTGATTGTTTTTTATTTTTTTCCTTGATGTTGGTTTCTAGTTTCAAGTCATTGTGGCCCAAGAACATGCTTGATGTGATTACAATTTTCTTGAATTTGTTGAGGCTTGTTTTGTATCCTATCATGTGATCTATCTTTGAAAATGTTCCATGTGCATTTGAACAAAATGTATATTTTGCATCTTTGGGATGAAATGTTCTGTAAATATCAGTTAACTCCATTTGATCTACACCAGGGGTGTCCAACCTTTTAGCACCTCTGGGCCGCACTGGGAGAAGAGCTATCTCAGGCCACACATTAAATACAAAAACACTAACAAAAACTAATGAGAAAAAAAAGGAAAGAAAAAAATGTTTGTCCATAAAATTCATGATATATGTCACCATAGATAAGTTAAAAAGTCCCCACACAATAACAGTAATTATGCAGCAGTCCTTTTGTTATTCTTTTAAAGTCATTGTGCAGGACCTAAGTTTGTGATCACTAATATAGAAAATGTACATATCTAAAAAATAAAACATCATTGTACATACATTTATTTTATGCGACATTGTGACAAGTAAGTAATCACTGTATGGAATTTCCTCAAAGAACTAAAACTAGAGCTGCCTTTTGACCCAGTAATTCTACTTCTGGTACTATACCCTAAAAACCCATAAACATCAGTTCAAAAGAACCTATGCACCCCAATGTTCATAGGAGTACAATTTATAATAGCTAAGTGTTGGAAGCAACCTAAGTGCCCATCAGTAAATGAGTGGATCAAAAAGCTATGGTACATGTACACAATGGAATACTATGCAGCAGAAAGAAAGAAGAAGTCCTACCTTTCATGACAGGATGGATGGAACTGGAGAGCATAATGTTGAGTAAAATAAGCCAGGCAGTGAAAGACAAATATCACATGATCTCACCTATAAATGGTCCTTAATCAAGAAAACAAATGAGGAAGCAAAATATATCCAGAGACATTGAAAGAAAGAAGAAACTGACAGTTAGCAGAAGGGAGGGAAAGGGATATTAATGTGGGAAATTGGGGAAGAGTCATCAAGAAATGCGTATAAAGGACCCATGGACAAAGCCAAAGGGGCATAGGATTGAGGGTGGGAGGTGGTAGGTGTGGTGGGTGAGTTGGGGGAGATGTAGACAAGTGTACTTGAAGAACAATAAAAAAATGATTTCCATTTAAAAAAACACTATGGTACATTTACACAATGGAATATTATATAGCAGAAATAAGGGGCTCCTATCTTTTGCAATGGCATGGATGGAACTGGAAAATCTTATAATGTTTTAGTAAATTTATGATTTTGTGTTGGGCTGCATTCATAGCCATTCTAGACTGCATGCAAGCTGAGGGCCTTGGTTTGGACACCCCTGATTTATAGTGTTGTTCAGTGCCACAATATCCTTGTTGATTCTTGTTTGGATGATCTGTCCACTGTTGACAATAGGGTGTTAAAATCACCTACTATAAGTGAATGGGTTGTCTGTATCATTCTTGAAGACCTCCAAGATTTTCCTTATATATTTGAGTGCTCATATATTGGGTGCATAAGTGTTTACAATGTTTATATCTTCTTTTTTTTTTCCAGATCAATACACAGCTTTTATTCCATCTTTAAAATTACACAAATAAATGTAAGGAATATCCCAAGTAAGTGTGAGGAATCATTCGGCACCTTGCTGTTTCTACAGCTGGACAACTTAGATCTTATTCATCAGCCTGCTGAACTGTTCCTTTTTCAGACACATAGATACCATCCAAAAATTTTCTGATATCCTTGTTTTTAACTGTTGTGGCTTGCTGAATCAAAGCAGCTGAATTTGATACAAGTTCAATGTCATTTCCTTCCAGAATCAACTCATCCTTCTGGGCCTGAGATACTGAACAAGCAACGCCTGACCTCATCCGAACCCTGCGGATGTATTTTTCGCCCAAGAAATTTCTGATTTCAACAAGAGAACCATTCTCCTGAATAACAACATTGATGGGGAAGTGGGCATACACAGACCTCATCTTGTAACGGAAGCCCAGCGTAACACCCTTGATCATGTTCTGTACATGACTGCAGATGGTGCGGACAGTGGCCAGTTCCTTTCTATTTCCCCACCATTTGTCAACCCGGAGCCTCTTCTTTTTCTTTCCAAGAAGACTGAGTTCTACGTTGATGTGGTTGAAGTCCCTCCGCAGGGTGCCTCTGGGGCCCTTCACAATAACTGTGCGCCCCTTCAGAGTGATGTCGACATTTTCGGGGATGTCGACAGTCTGATTGCTGAGAATGGTCTTCATCCTCGCAGTAGAAGTGGCAAAAAGTTGTTTATATCTTCTTGATGGATTCTTCCCTTAAGTATTATGGAGTGTCCTTCTCTCTTTTTATGGCTTTTGTTTTGAAATCTATTTTGTCTGATATAAGTATTGCTACCCCAGATTTTTCTTTCCTATTTGTTTGGAATATTTTTTCCAACCTTTCACTTTCAGTCTGCATAGGTCTTTTGATCTGAGGTGAGTCTTTGTAGACAGCATATATTCAGGTCATGTTTTATTATTCATTCAGCTACCCTATGTCTTTTGATTGGAACATTTAATTCATTTACCTTTAAGGTTGTTATTAATAGATACTTACTCATTGCCATTTTTCCCCTTTTCAGTTGTGTTCCTCTCTCTCTCTGACTCTTTTTCCTCCTCTACTTAAAGCAGTCCCTTTAGCAGGTCTTGCAGTGCTGGTTTGGTGGAGGTATATTCTTTTGGCCTTTTGTTTGGGAAATTCCTTATTTCACTCTCCATTTTAAATGACAGCCTTTCTGAGTAGAGTAGTCTTGGATGCAGGCCTTTGCTTTTCATTACTTGGAATATTTCTTGCCATTCCCTGGTAACTTGCATTTTTTCTGTTGAGAAATCAGCTGCTGGCCTTATCAAAGCTCCCTTGTATGCTACTATCTGTTTATCTCTTGTTGCCTTTAAGATTATCTCTTTGTCTTTAATATTTGGAATTTTAATTATATGTCTTGGAGTGGGCCTCTTTGGGTTCTTGATTGGGACCCTTTGTGCTTCCTGAACTTGTAAGGTTTTTCCCCTCTCCAAGTTAGGAAAGTTTTCTGTCATTATTCTTTCAAATAGTTTTTCTATCCCTTGCTCATTTTCTTCCACTTCTGGTATTCTGATTCTTCAAATGTTGCTATGGTTCATGTTATCCTTAAGTTCCCTTAAACTATCTTCATACTTTTTGAGTAATTTTTCATTTTTTTGTTCTGCCTGGGTGTTTCTTTCTACCTTATTTTCCAGCTCACTGATTCAGTCCTGTGCTTCATCCATCCTGCTTGTAATCCCTTCTAGTGTATTTTTTATTTCATATATTGCATTTTTCATATTTTCTGGTTCTTGTTTATAGTTTCTATTTCCTTTTACATGCTGTTGTAATTCCCATTCAGTTCCTGTAGTTGTCACTGAGTTCCTTGAGCATCCTTATAACCATTTTTTTAAAAAATTATATATCTGATAGATTGCTTGCCTTGATTTCATTTAGCTCTTTTTCTGGGGATTCCTCCATTCCTTTTGATTGGGAGGTTCTTTCTTTTTCTCCCCATTTTTGATAACTTTTTGTCTCTGCATCTTGGGATTCTCTGCTTTGCTTGCCTGACTTTGTTGGGTAGGAGTTCTGCAGGACTCAGTGGTGCAGTCTCTTTCATCTCCCTGTGTGAATGCTCTAGGGTTGCTCTTTATTCAGTTTGTGTGGGCTCTCTTGTTGTACTTGGGCTTTGCTTGTTGGTGGCTACTTCATTGGTGGGTTCTCCATCCAGCTGGTTTAATAGAAGTCAGAAATCCCCCCTCTTCTTGTATGCTGTTTTATAGGTGTTGGTTAACTAAGCAGTATCACCAGAAAACCAAACCCATGCCAGCAAAAAAAAAAAAAAATCCACCTACCACATCAGCAGTATGAACTGCAATTGAGAAAAGATCAATAAAGTTCAATAGAGATTAAGAATATTACAAGATAGGAAAAAGAGAATATGAGATGACTAAAAGAGGAGAAAATGTCTTTGAGTGGGAATAGGGAGGAGAACTGATAACAGTACGGATAGAACCAAGGCAAAGAAAGGGAGAGAACTAAATTTAAAGCATATATAAAACACAGGAGGGCAATGTCAAAAAATGGAGTAAGAAAAGGGAAGAGAATACTATGAGGTTTGAAGTAAAATTGAAAAGGTATTTGACCAAAAGGAACAAAATTGCATAAAAACCATAGCAGGGTTAACATCAACAACAGCTGGATGAAGATGAATAAAAGTTGGCCTGGCTGGTGTGGCTCAGTAGATTGAATGCCAGCCTGCAAACCAAATGTCCACTGGTTCAATTTCCAGTCTGGGCACATGTCTGGGTTGCAGGCTAGGCCCCCATTATGGGGCACACAATAGGCAACCGCACATTGATGTTTCCCTCTCTTTCTTACTCCTTTCCCTTCTCTCTAAAAATAAATAAATAAAATATTTGAAAAAAATTAATAAAAGTGGAAAGAGTAAGAATATTGTACAAAAGAGAAGAGAATATGAGATGTCTACAGTAAAGGAACATGACTTTGAGAGGCTGAGGGAGGAAAACTAATGAAAGTAAAGATGAAACCCAGATTAAGAGGGAAAAAAATTAAAATAAAATTCCTCACTCAACTGATCAAGGGTAGGGGGAAGGCAAAATGGAGTAAGACAGAGGGAGAGTATCATATAGGATTTAACGTATAAACAAACAGTGAACAAATAGGAATTCCATGGGAGAACAGCAATAACCATGATATCCTCACCCAACTAGCCACAATTTATAAAGGTGGGAGATAAGACTATTACCAGAGGGATAAAATAATATGAGTTAACGTAAGGAAGAAAGAATGCTTTTGTGAGGATAGATGGAGGATAAATAGTAAGAGTAATCAATAGGAACATGGGATAATGTGAGAGAAAATAAAGTTTCCAACAATAGTAAGAAAGGTTAGGAAGATGGCAGTCAGACCAGTGAATGGAATAAGACCAGGGAAAGGTGCTATGTGGAATTTGACAATAATATGAAAAAACACATAATCTGAATAAAAATAAGAAAAAATAAAAGGCCAAGAGTAGTGATTTAGTTGGAATGTGAGTGAAGTGAAAATAGAAATATTAAAATGATATTTGAGAAGAAAAAAGAAGAGAGAGAGAAAAGACACACAAGTTCTGATGAACAGCAAAGTGAACTCCGCCTCACCTGTTGGTGTTTGCTTCCTGACTTGTATGCGGGCCCATATGTGGTTTTCTTAATCAGCTCAAGGACCAGGATGGGTCATCCAACTTCTGGCAACACGACCTGTATTTTCTTCCCATGCCTCTAGAGGGGGCTTCTGTTATGAATGAGAGGGTGAGGTCTCTGTGTCTCTCCTGGGAGGCACTGCTCAGTCTTCTGGGAAAATTGTGGGTGCACTCTCCCTGCCCCTACACCTCCAGTCTTAGTCTGTCTCAGTTTATTTCAAATAATGTATAGTTTCTGCTTAAATAGCTGTCAGTTTCATGGGGGACATGGGGCAATCTGTCTAAGAATGTCAGCTCTCTCCTGCTTGGTGTAGACTGCAGCTCTGTGTGTGAGCCAAGTCTGGGCTGTACCCTGAAAATCCTTTTTGCATGCTTTCTTAACTTTCTGCTTAGATGGCCTCAGTGAAATAAGTTCCCTAAACCCAGCGTACTTCTGCCTGTGAGGAGTTCAAAATGGGCCTTTCCAGGCATTGGTCTTGCTGGAAATGCCCCTTGGGGGTTGTTAAGCCTGCCCCGCTGGTTTTTCAGATCTTCTCAACTCCTGCCAGAGGTGAAGAGTTGGGTTCAATTTTCCCTTCCCAGGAGTTCTGCTAAGGAAGGGGACACAGTCTGGCCTCAGTTAATCTCAGATGCACAGTTCCCAGCCACTGTCCTGTCAGCCCACTACAGCCAGCACTTCCACCTGTGCTGCTCCACTGGGCTGGGGCCAAGAAACCACCTCACTTTGCACCCTTTTGATCAAACTGCCCAAGTGTACTGAGTGGGAGTAGATAATGCCCACAATCCTCTCTCCTTCTTGGCCAGGTAGCTGTGCACATGAGGTCCCTCCCCAGCATGCCTCAGCTCTCCTTTTGAAAAAAGTGTCTCTGTGAGTTCCCACTGCAGCACCAAGCCACTGCCCAGCTTTCCACATATTCCAACTCTCTGACAAGTCAAGAGTCCATCTCAGTCATAGCAAGTCATGGCCCTCCTCTTCCCCCAGTTCTAGATGCAGCCAGGATCTCCGTCACTCTCTGGAACTGTTGCAGTCAGCTTCCACTGCCACAGCTAGGGTGCACTGCCAGCTGTGTGCGTATGCAGCATGTTTCTCCCTGGTGACTCTACTTAAGTTGCTCCCTGCTGCTGGGTCTGTGTATTCCCTGCCTTGGGAGGGGAGGGAGCCTCTAGGCTGCTCTCTCTCACCAGGCTCTCCTTGGGAGCTGTCCCCATGGCAGCTGCTGTTTCTCGTGCTATGCATGTCGACTTTCTCCATCCACCTATGAAACCTCTTTACCACCTATTTTGAAGCATCCTCTGTACTCTTTGGCTTCCAAACTTCCTATCAGCCAAGATTCTGTTGAATGTTCACTTTGTTTTTTGGAAGATCAGCTAAGAGTCTGAGTTGAGTGCACGAGCAAGTGGGCTTGGCTCACACCTACTTTGCTGCCAGTTTCCCACTCCCATGCTGTTTTAATTATTGTCACTTTAATATGATATGAAGTCAGAGAGTGTGATTCCTCTGGCTTTGTACTTTTTCTCAGTATTGCTTTGGCTATTCAGGACCTTTTGTGGTTTTATACAAAGTTGATTATTTTTTATTGTATTTCTTTGAAAAATGCCATTGAGGTTTTCATGGGGATTGCATTAAATCTGTATACTGCTTTGAGTAATGTGGAAATTTTAATTGTTGATTATTCTAATCCATGAACATGGAAAATATTCCCATTACATTGTGTTACAGGATGGAACCTAGGCTGGGAGAAGGTCTGCCTCGGGCTGTTTTGTAGTATATGGGTTCTTGACCTTGTGGAAGAAATATTTCACAACGCAAGTCTAGGTGATTTTGAAAGCATGTTTATTAAAGCAGTGGCAACTGAAACAAAGGAAGGACTTAGGATAGAAGCAGCAACAGGAAAAAGCCTAGGTGGTCCTCTTCTTTGGTTTCCTAGAAATTTTATAGGAAAGAAGTAAGCCTAGGTGGTTCTGATGTTATCTCAATGGGAAGTAAAGGTCACAGTGACGGAAATGAGCCAAGACAGGGCTGCTTTTACCTTACTG